ATGATTTGATTCAGAAGGTTTTCCATCCTGTATACGCAAGAAAACCTGCAGCTCACAGGCCTAATAGAGACCGATGTACAACATGTAACAGAGGATGTCATTTTAAGAAGATAAACTTGACCTCTGGAACTATGAATGACAGGATGATATAGTGCTGCCAGCTGTTCTTTATTCCAGAAGAATCCACTTCCAATCAAGTAGCTTTCATTTATTCATTTATTGAACAGGAAGCAGGGTTATGCATTCATAATGTGAGTGTGGAGGTAGTGTGGTAAGGGGGTGTTATACAAGGGCCAACATGAGAAATTAGTGACGCTCCCTTAATGGCCTCAAGCTGCCACTTGTGGCACGTCTGGAGGAAAGGCAGATAATTTTGAATGTTGTGGATCCAAAACTTGGCACCGCCTCCATCTATGATGGCCCAGGAGCTCCGTTTCTGGGTAGATGACCTGAACGTACCTGCATCAGGCCGCCGCATCAACTACATGTTGGGAGGGACTGAATCAAAATCAGCTACGTTTGAGGGGACATAAACATAACCAGTGACCACCACCAGTAGGCAAACATGGGGTTAGTATCTTGCCCAACGGGGCAGCCTGGGCTCGAACCACTGACCTTCTGATTAGTGGCTGACCTGGTCTGCCACCTGAGCTACAGTGTATGTCTCTATCTTTATTTACACACATGTTCTGTTGCTTGTTAGTGATTACTAAAGGTAGCACTGTGAAGACTATTTGTATGGATTTTATAGTGTCCAGTTTAGTTACCATTTTAAACAAAAAGAGAGAGAATCATGATATTTATATATTATTAATATGTATTTTTACTGGTAGCAGAGATCAGAGCACATCAATTCTCTCTTTACCATGAGTATAACTGCTGCTGCTTCTGATATTATGGTTCATTTCCCTCGTAGATCAGCAGGTGAAGGTGGAGGTGGAGGAAGGCTCAGACTCTGTCATCCTGCCCTGCAAAACAAAACCCGATCTGCCTGAAAAGGCCACAGTGGAGTGGACTCGCCCCGACCGAGAACTCACTATGGTCCATTTGTATGTAAACAGAAGTGACCATCCTAAAAATGTAGACGACCTTTACTGTGGCCGCGCAAAGATGAACAAAGACCTGCTGAGAACTGGAGACCTCAGTCTGACCCTGGAATACCCCACAGAGAGAGACAGTGGAGGATACATCTGCACCATCTACAGGGACAAAGACATCCTGAGACAGAAAGTAGTGCTGCAGGTCAAAGGTCAGAGATGTGGAAAAACATCAGGGGTCAGTGCAGGAGATTGAGGTTCAACAGTCATGTTGATATTGTTTTGTTTCTCCACAGAACCATTTCCATCCTGGGCCACAGCTCTCCAGGTTCTCCTGGTTCTTCTTCTAGTAGTTTCTGCGGGTCTTTTATTTCAATTCCGTCATTATTTGGTGTCAGGTGAGTGTCTCCTCCTACACTACCCATAATGCCGATGGTTAGCTGAGCTGAAGAGAAACTTCCAAGTTTTTTCCTGAAGTCAGAAAACCTCCTTCAGACTCAGCCATTGATCAGTGAACTCAATCAAAACACTCACATGGAAAAATGTGCTGACAGTAAATAGACTCAGTCTGTCTGTTCTTCTGCTCTTCATCCAACATGTCTGCAGACTAGTTACCAAAGAACGAGTCAGGAACACATCAGGAGCATGATGGAGAAACAGTCTAACACTTGTGTCTCCATCATGCTCCAAAACGTTGTTGCTTTGACTCTCGTCTGCGGGTTTTTATCAAGCTGAAGGAATCCAGAAGAAGTGTAATAATGGGAATTTTCCAGAACATCGGTGAGGTGCAGATTGTTTGCAATGTTTGGTTAAAGGTGCCTTAGTGAGTTGCACTTCAATGAAAAGTACTCATATGAATGGGGATTTAAATATTTACTCAACAAGACAAAGATGATGATTTCTATAAGGAAAAGGTAGAAAATGAGGTCAGGCACAAGTTACAAGACCAAGTTAAATGTTATGCGATTTAAACAGTTCAAGTTTGTGGTTTGCAACAATGACGTGGATGATACATTTTAGTAAGGTGTTAAATATGAGATGGTTAATATGAGCAGCAGACAGGATTTCTCTCAGAGCTCTGTAGACTGTG